ACCCAAGCCCTTCGTGGCGGGATGTGGAGCAGGAGGGAAGGGGGTGCAGACAGGGAAGCTGGATACTGGAGGTCAGGTACGGGGTCAAGAAGTCATTCAGGGTCCCAGCCTCAGTCATTCTGAAATCCTGGCCCAATCCCTTTCTGGTTTTTTTCTCAGACCCCAGGAATCTCTCTCCTTTTGGGGCCAGTATCATACAAAGTTTGAACTTACAAACATCCCATTTTGTTAAATTTTCAGACAGACTTTTTCCTGTTTCTTTTCTCTCTAAATATTTTCTTCTCTTAAACCCTTTAAGGAAAATAAGGGCACATAGGTACAAAGGATGGAAATCAGGTAAAACTATATTTCTGTGTAAACCAGACTGTACCTGCCCTGCAGGGGGACAGCAGACATCGGGTAACGAACAGACTAGTGATTCCCTTCGGAGGTTACAGAGAAAGGGTCAAGATTACCTGCCAGCAGGCTGGGGGACAGGGGTAGGAGGCTCTGCTTAGTTTGCAGGAGAGAGACAGAAGGAGAGTGCAGAAAAACACATCCAAAAGGAAGCTCAGCTCAAGTCCAAACCTGGGGAACTAACGGTGTTTGGGGGGTTCCTGGACAAACCTACTATATTAAAACTCACTGACTCACAGAGTAGAGATGTGATTAATGTATTAGGAACTACCATTTAATAATCCAACTGGAAAAACAATCAAAAGACCAACACCACCTAAACTATCATGTATCACAGTTTGTTTCTAATTCACTAGAATCATTTTGAGATAATTAGGGCATTACTGTAAACTTTAATACCATTATTTCTCATGATTTCATAAGGATTCGGTTCTACTATTTCATCATTTAATTAACACGAGAATCTACAATCAGCCTACAGGGTAAAACAAAAAAACTGCCAGGTTGCACTTTTCTGAGTTCCAGAATGTACAAAAAACCCAGAAACATAAACACAGGTGCTGCAGGAAAGCCTATAAGAATAAAATTCAAAAGTATGTAAAATAGGCCAATGAGTGTATTACTCAAATACATTAAAAATTATTTTTTTCCTGCAATTGCTAATCTTCAGTTCTTTAATAGTAAATAATAAAATTTACATAATGTTATGATACTCCATTTTTTTCTTTATAAGATGAAATTTTTTTTATTGAGGTACCATTGGTTTATAACATTATATAAATTTCAGGTGTACGTGATGATATATTTCGAATTCTGTGTAGATTACATCATGTTCACCACCCAAAGATTAATTACCATCCATCACCATACACATGTGCCTAATCACCCCTTTGGCCCTCCCCCTCCCCACTTCCCCTCTGGTAACCACCAATCCAATCTCTGTTACTATGTGTTTGTTTGTTGTTTTTATCTTCTCCTTATGCATGAGATCATATGCTATTTGCCTTTCTCCCTCTGACTTATTTCACTTAGCATAATACCCTCAAGGTCCATCCACGTTGTCACAAATGGCTGGATTTCATCATTTCTTATGGCCGAGTAGTATTCTATTGTGTATATATACCACATCTTCTTTATCCACTTGTCCCTTGACGGGCACCTAGGATGCTTCCAAGTCTTGGCTATTGTGAACAGTGCTGCAATGAACATAAGGGTGCATGTATCTTTATGCATTTGTGTTTTCATGTTTTGGATAAATACCCAGCAGTGGAATAGCTGGATCATATGGTAGTTCTGTTCTTAATTTTTTTTTTTTGAGGAAGATTAGCCCTTACCTAACTACTGCCAATCCTCCTTTTTCTGCTGAGGAAGCCTGGCCCTGAGCCAACATCCATGCCCATCTTCTTCTATTTTATATGTGAGACGCCTACCACAGCATGGCTTGCCAAGCGGTGCCATGTCCACACATGGGATCCGAATCGGTGAACTGCAGGCTGCCGAGAAGCAGAACGTGCAAACTTAACCGCTGCGGCACCAGGCCGGCCCCTATTCCTAATTTTTTTAGGAAACTCCATACTGTTTTCCATAGTGGCTGCACCAGTTTGCATTCCCACTGAGCAGTCTAAGAGTTCCCCTCTCTCCACGTCCTCCCCCTGTTCTTTACTGTCTTGTTAATTATAGCCATTCTGATGGGAGTGAGGTGATATCTCATTGTAGTTTTGATTTCCATTTCCCTCATAGTTAATGATGTTGAACGTCTTTTCATGTGCCTATTGGCTATCTGCATATCTTCTTTGGAGAAATCTCTGTTCAGATCTTTTTGCCCAGTTTTTAAGTGGGTTATTAGCTTTTTTGTTGTTGAGATATATGAGTTCTTTGTATATTTTGGATTATTAACCCCCTATCTGATACATGGTTTACAAATATCTTCTCCCCACTGTTAGGTTGTGTTTTCGTTTTGTTGATGGTTTCCTTTGCTGTGCAGAAGCTTTTTAGTTTGATGTAGTCCCATTTGTTCATTTTTTCTTTTGTTTCCGTGGCCTGGTCAGACATGGTACTTGAAAATATGCTGCTAAGACTGATGTCAAAGAGCGTACTGCCTATGTTTTCTTCTAGAAGTTTCATGGTTTCAAGTCTTACATTCAAGTCTTTAATCCATTTTGAGTTGACTTTTGTGTATGGTGTACGATAGTGGTCTACTTTCATTCTTTTACATGTGGCTGTCCAGTTTCCCAAACACCATTTATTGAAGGGACTCCTTTCTCCATTGTATGTTCCTGGCTCCCTTGGTGAAAATTAGTTGTCCATATATGTGTGAGTTTATTTCTGGGTTCTCGGTTCTGTTCCATTGATCTGTATGCCTGTTTTTGTGCCAGTACCATGGTGTTTTGGTTACTATAGCTTTGCAGTATATTTTGAAATCAGGGAGTGTGATACCTCCAGCTTTGTTTTTTCTCAGGATTCCTTTAGCTATTTGGGGTCTTTTGTTGTTCCATATAAATTTTAGGATTCTTTGTTCTATGTCTGTGAAAAATGTTGTTGCAACTTTGATAGGGATTGCATTGAATCTGTATGTTGCTTGAGGAAGGGTCGACATTTTAACTATGTTAATTATTCCAATCCAAGAGCACAGAACATCTTTCCATTTCCTTGACATCTTCAATTTCTTTCAACAATGTTTTAAAGTTTTCAGTGTACAGATCTTTCACCTCTTTGGTTAAGTTTATTCCTAGGTATTTTATTCTTTTTGTTGCTATTATAAATGGGACTGTATTCTTAATTTCTCTTTCTGCTACTTCATTGCTAGTGTATAGAAATGCAAGCGATTTTTGTATGTTGATTTTACATCGAGCAATGTGACTGTACTCATTATTTCTAAGAGTTTTTTAGTGGATTCTTTAGGGTTTTCTATATATAAAATCATGTCATCTGCAAATAGTGACAGTTTCACTTCTTCCTTTCCAATTTGGATCCTTTTCATTTCTTTTTCTGCCTGATTGCTCTTGCTAAGACTTCCAATACTATGTTAAATAAGAGTGGTGAAAATGGGCATCCTCGTCTGGTTCCTGTTCTTAGAGGGACAGCTTTCATTTTTTTCCATTGAGAATGATATTTGCTGTTGGTTTTTCATATATGGTATGGCTACTCTTTCAGCACACTTACTAAAGGATAACACACATTCTAGCCAAGTACTTTCTTGTGTGTGTGTGAGGAAGATTGCCCTGAGCTAACATCTGTCTTCCTCTTTTTGCTTGAGGAAGATTGTTGCTGAGATAACATCTATGCCAATCTTCCTCCATTTTATGTGAGATGCCACCATACCATGGCTTGATAAGCAGTGCTATGTCATTGCCTGGGATCCAAACCTGTGAACCCTGGGCTGCTGAAGTAAAGTGCGTGAACTTAACCACTATGCCACCAGGCTGGCCCCCCAAGTATTTTTTAATGATGACACTTATGATATTATTCTTCAAACACTAGTCTTTTCTGGAGCCCCACATATTAAGTTGTCAAACATGCTGAATCAATCATATGGATTTATTAAAAACAGAAAATGGAGTCAATTTTCTTGTGAAGGAAATATTATCAATAAAATTCAAATATAATTTAATATTGTCTTTATTTTCTTCATAAAAGTATTACCAAATCTTTCTGACATCAGGAAACGATGAATTGCATGGAGCAGTTGAAAGACTTACTGTATAGAAAACAACAAAGTTATGCTGAGTGAAGAATAAGATACACACTAGCTTCCATCACCTTATGAATCTTTCAAGTGAGAACTAGCAGCTGATGAATATTTCATACAATATCATATTCAGAGATTAAAAGGGAAATTTAATTGTCTTCCTTCTATATTACCTTCTATAATTATTTTCAATATAATAAATAGATACTGTAATTGTTAAATGCCTTTCATTGTCTGGTAGTAACACGAGAGGAATAAAAGCTAAGATTTCACTTCCGTAATAATCAAGCCCCAGTAATCCATAGAGAAGTAAAGCATAATGGCTTTCTTTCACTACTACAGAACATTCGCTCTAAATAAAGACGCTGGTGCACAAAATAACACTCTTAAAAAGGGTGTAAATCAATTTGCATAAAGACTTGCATTATTTACCAATATTTTATACTAAGTGGTTTGTTGTTGTTGAGGAAGATTCACTCTGAGCTGACATCTGTGCCAATCTTCCTCTATTTTGCATGTGGGCTGCCACCATGGCATGGCTTGACGAGTGGCGTGTAGGTTCGTGCCCGGGATCTGAACCCACGAACATGGGCTGCTGAAGCAGAGCGCATCAAACTTAACCATTCCACCATGGGGCGGGCCCCTATACTAAGTATTTTTAAATTAAAAAACATTCTGTTTATAACATTAACATAAACAACTATCAGTAAAAATGATACAGTATTTTCCTATATCCTGACAAAAATTAGTAAGTTTTCGTCATTAGAAAACATGAGGTTAATTTTCTTGAAAAGACATAACTTTTGGGAAAAAGGAGGTTATGAGAGTCTTCTACAATGGCATTTTGTGTCATTGTAGCCAGTACCGCTTTGTAGCTTCTTATCAGTTTTAACAAAGCAGAAAGAGATCGCCTTACCGTTGGTGCTGTATCTACGTGATGGTTACAAGGCTTTCTTTCTATGCTGAAAATCCCTGTGAAAAGAAAACACTGTGAATATTTGCTTATTATACTTATCCATTTTATTTTAAAAACATGTCTGCCAGTAAGACATGACCCCTACAGCTGACAGGAAAAAAACCTCACTTGGATGGCAGGGTCCTTTCAAGTGTAGCGGGAATGTTTTGGTCAGGAGCAGCTGGAGGGTTTAGCTAACTAAGAGACCTGACTCACGGAGAGCTCTGCCAATTTTCCCACTCCTGTGGTGTTTAGCAACAGCCCAAGATGAGGCCATATTCTGCTCTCTGCTCGAAAATTATACCATTATCTCTGCTCTGCTGCATTTCTTCCACAAAAGTTTTATTTCTGACTTGAGGTTGTCAAGTTTTCATAAAGAAATATCACAAAGGCTATGAAGGGAACCTTTTCCCTATTTTCTCAAGAAGAATAAATAAATCTATTTGAGTTTCTCTTTGATCATCTTTCTACTATGACATACTCTACTACTTATTCAATCACCATGGAGCATCTGAAGAAAAAAGTTCCCCTGATTCTCTCCTTTAAAATGATAACATAGACTGCTAAACTTGAGACAAATCCTTTTATCGTGTGTGGCTTTATCTTTTTGTTCCCACCGTCCTCTCCTGCATTTCTTTGTAATAAACAGCTTGTAAGGATGTAACACATTGGATCTCATCTGTAAAGACACTGGTTCAAAGTCTAGCTCAAGTTAAAAATGTACTCAGGTGTGGGTCTCATTTACTTTTCAATCTCTGTCCATCAGCAAACCAACAGGTGAGTTACGATATTAGAACAGTTTGTTCAAATAATGCTAAAGGTTGTCACATGCAGGGCTGGTTAGCAGTGAGAACTGCAAAGTACTGTTAATAGCAATTATCAAAATTCCTAGTCGAAGCAAAACACTAGTCCCTCTCATCTATAGGCATTTTTAACTCATTTTTCTTGAGGTATGATAAGGGATTAAGTGAGATCAACATAAAACAATCAGTTTTTATCACTTTGCAAGAGTATATTCAAAATAAAGTAACATGAAACATGATTTTAAAAAACTATAGTTTTTGTCTTACTGAGAAAATTCTCTCAACATCTACTGTTAGCCAGTGAAGTATAAAGCACTGTACTATCTTTATTCAATCAACTAAGATTTATTGAGTGGCTATTTGGCGCTCAGTACTAAAAGATATATCATAAAGGATATATTATGATTTCTGACCTCAAGAGCCTAGTAAAACACAGATGTCCTTTTGTGAAGAAATACTACAGAGTAAATTAACAGTTCTGTCTTAAGTGTAATAACAAAGTCTTTAAAGTAATTTTGATAGAAAGGTACATTTTTATTCATAGAGTAACACTGGCCTTGCATAAAAAAAATTTTTAAAAACCCCAAGTAAAACGTATTGGAAAATATTCAAATAATGCTGATTCTTTATTGTAAGATTTTAATAATACTGAAGTATAGAGAACCAATGGTGAAATCCTCGCTCCCCCAGCCCCCACACTCCCTCTACTCTCGCTAGCGGCAACCACTGAGAACAGTCTGGCACCACACACTGACCTTAAATGAGTGGTCTTATCATGGGGTTCAGGAATTAGCAACATTTCCCATGTGTGTTCTCACTATTATAATCAGAATGCTATAAAACTGACCTAGGCTGATTACTGATTTTAAAATTCTTATCCAGTTAGAAAGTAACTTCAAAATGATGACAATAAAAAACTAAAAACCCCCAAAATCTACATCTCAGCTTATACAAAGAAAAAAACTACATGTTTTACAGTTTCAATTTCAGAATAAAAATGCGTTGAAAACTAGAAGTTTTAAAAGTGGATTATCCAAAGACATAATCTTAGTTTTAAAGTTAGATTGTCTATTTAAATACTATCCTTTGGAAAGCCAATCATACATGTTTGTTCAAGTTTTCAATGAAGAGCACACAGAAAGGAATAAGTTTGAGGAAAAATGTCCCAAAATAGCTTCCTATTTTAAGTAAATTTTACCTAAAAACTGTGTTTGTATCTTATGTTCACTTTTACTAAGGTATAATGCTAAGTGAGGGCTCATAAGTAGCTGCTCTGGTGATGATTTTCATGTGTCAACTTGGCTAGGCCACAGCACCCAGATATCTGGCCAAACATTCCAGACGTTTCTGTGAAGGTATTCTTCTATATGATATTAACACTTAAATCAGTAGACTCTGAGTGAAGGAGACTGCTCTCATAATGTGAGGGGCTTCATCCAACCAGCTGAGGGTCTTAAGGAAAAGACTGACCTCCCCTGAAAGAGGGAACTTGGCCAGCAGCCTGCTTCCAGACTTCAACTGCAGCCCTTCCTGGGCCCCCAGCCTGCTGGCCCACCCTGCAGGTTTTGGACTTGCCAGCCTCCACAGTCACGCAGACCAATTCCTTAAAACAAATCTCTCTCTCTCTCTCTACATCCTATTGGTTCTGTTTCTCTGGGGAATGCTAACACACTTACTTTCTGGGAAACATTAAACAAAATGAAAATACAATTGTTTGTATTTATTCTAAATTAAATTTTTGTTCACTAAATATGTCAATCGTGCAGGAATATAGTTAAAATGTCTAATTTGTCGTGGGATATTTTTAAATTAGAATAACTCAAAATGAACTTAAGAATATACAACATCTGTAGAATAAATCAATCTATCAAATAGAAAATCAAGAAAATCAATCTGTCAATAAATATTTACCACTAGATTGTCCAGGGTGACAATCTCTGCTTTTTAACGCTTAGACAATTTACATTTAATACCGTTACTGATGTGGCTGTGTTTAAGTCTGCCAACTTGTTATTTTATTGCATCTCGTTTTGCTCTTTCTTCCTCCTTTTCTATACTCCAACCAAGATACCACCCTTACTAAGACCTCCTTACTCCACAGAAGATTAAATTTTTAGAAGGCTTTTACTTCTCTATTCTTGTATATAAATTTATAGAGAAGTTTAAATGGATGAAAATGTGTAGGAATTTGTAGCAGTGCTAAGTATGAATCTATAGAACAAAAAATACTGTAAGAAAAAAGTTAATGTTTCCCCTCTGCCTAAAAGACAAAATCTAATGTTTAACCCTATGTCTTGAGATTTATATTTTTAATTCAGTTGTCATTGGTTAGAGTATTCTCTAAATCCCTGTATACCCAAATATGTCTTCCTTTGTCAACAGGTGCAGGATACTTTGTGTGAATAATGATCTTTGGATAAGAAATCTTTTATCTTGGTTGTCTGGATATGTTATTTCACTATCAGCCAGCTTGTAGAGTTTTAGATGAAGAGTCCAACATGCATTTGACTCCTTCCAATGTAAAGACCCTGTTCCTCTTCTGAACAGACTTGCAAGATTTCTCTTTATCTAAAACATCAGGAGTTTCAGCAGGTATGTCTAAGTGTGTCTTTGTCATAGTTAATTTTTCTTGGGACTTGATAAGCTCTTTAATCTGCAGAGTCTTATTCTTCTGCTCAGAGGAATTTTATTCCATTATTTGTTTAATTTTGCAGCTCATTTTATTTCTACCTTCATGATTTTTATCTGTGTGATAATCCTGCCACTTAGTCGTGTTGGTGAGCATCTTCTTTTTCACCTTGTCTAACGATTTTACAACGTGAAATCATGTCGTTTACTTTAGTTCCTTTCTAGAGGCCAACGAAGGCTAAGACACGAGGGATGGCAGACCCTGGAGAGCAGTTCAGGAAAAAACTGGGATCTCAGTGCCAGTGTGTCAGGCAAGGGGTGGGGTTTGGGGGCTTTGTCCTCCTTGGTGCTGAGCAGGGACCTGTGTGGGGAAAACAGGTCTCTTCCAAAGGTGTAGGCAGAAAATGGGTTTTTCAGAGTGCTCTGGGGCTTCTCCACCAGCAGAAGCTATAAACCCTCTGGGTAACTGGCTCTGTCAGTTCAACGTTTGTAGGACACCAAGGGCCTGGCAGATCTGTGGACCACAATGGACTGAAAAGGCGCCGATATGCATAGGGACCCACACAGCTGGAGGCATCTGCTTCCAGGCCCCATCCCTGGGAGATGGCTGTACTTGCACCTGATGAGACTTACAGGAGAAGCTTACTCCTGTGGCTCGGCCAAGGGCTAACATTTGGACAGGTCTGTTCCTGTGTTTTGCTAGAGCTCAGACCTCTACCAGGACAGTAGGGACTACAAACCATGAGCATGCAAAGAAAACTAACAGCTCTGGTAAGGAGCTGACCAAACAACCTTCTAGAACTGGCAGTGCCACTGACGAACATGAGAGAATTAGAAGACGTCTTAAAGTAAAAGAAAATGAACAAAACTCAAAATTACTAAGAATTTTAAGATAGTTAATTAACAAACAATAAATACAACCCCATTTTAAAGGAGGGAAACAGTGGCTTTCAGAAATTACTCAGAAGACAGGTAACAGTCCAAGGTCAAACCACCAATGACTAGCAGAATCACGACTGACACACACGCACTCCCTCACAAATGCCGCAGCCCGCTTTACCCGTTTGGTTAGCCCCTGCGGTCAGGACCTGATTTTATTCCTCTGTATCCACAGCGCCTGGTCCAGACACTTGAAACACAGACGGTCCTCAAGAGCCGACTCAAATATTAACAGAACGCATGGAGTCAATGCCATATCCACCAGATTCATATGCTACAGTGTGGTGTGAAGTGTATGCATTCATCATCAGAATGTGAGTTAATGTTGTGCGACTGTTTTCAAAAATGTTAACTTACTACTTCCTTTGGTAACGTTTCTAAATTTACTATAAAATTGAAATGCATTACTTAAAAATTTTCCTAATTTTCCACATATTAACACATTCTAGAGAAGATAATGGAAGAAATTTTATGCTTCTTAGGAGACACTTTATGTATTTTATTTTGTAGAAAATCAGAATGTGACATTTATCCCATTTGTACTTGACTGATTTGAAGAGCAGAATTATATATTTTTTAGTTTCCCTAAATTCTATCAACCTTCAACCCAGGACCATGCTCAAGAAAAGAAAGAATAAAGATGATCA